AAATTTTTATTTCCAAATCTGCCCTTAAATTTTTTTTTTTTTTTTTATAACGGAGGATCCCTAGTTGCTACCCTTCGTGCGCGCTGACTAGATAAACCACCGGCCCGATAGTAGCCTTTGTATATGGATCATATAAACCCAGAAATTACCTCCCTCCCCACCAACCAGGAATCGAACATTCAACCTTAAGGTGGAGTTACATTCTACCTCAAATTTGACCAACCTTGAATATTTAATTAGCCATGTCGTGTTATGGGAACATTTTACAGTTTTTATTAGATTTATAAATAAATTATATGTTTTTTAATTAGTTAGACGGGGCATGGGATCCCATCTAATTTTACGCAGGTCCGCCCCTTAGTCAAACATTGGATTTTTGCTCCAATCTAGAGTATTTTATCATTACAATTTTTCATATTATTATCATTATTTAATTAAATATATTTGAGGAGGTGGAGGTGGAGGTGCGAAGAACATATAGATATAAAGTGGATTTTATTGGTTTGGTCGGGAGGAAGATGAGGACCACTACATTTGCATGGTTTCCCAAACGAGACAGAAATGCAGGAGATTTTGCATGTATGATGAAAGAGAAAGGAGAAACACAATAATAGACGAATCATTTAAAACACGAGAAATCATACATCTAAACAAATATATCACATCGTGTATGTATATGCGTGATGTGCATGCGTGAGATAGAGAGAGAGATTAACGTTGACGTTAGACTGGAGACAGGGCTAATACGGGGATTTCACGTGGCCTGTAAATCTAAAGCAAAATCTAATATTAGATTTTGCATGCAGAAACTGAGCGTATGAGTCGACAGCGACTACATGAACACAGTACGAATATATATATTTATATAGGTAGTGTGAATGTGTATTTCAGGTTCGCTAACTTATTTGATTTTTATTATATTTTATTTTTCTAACGATTATCCAAATTGTAAATTAGCCTTTTGTCTGAAATGTCGCAATCTAACTTATCGAGGCCAATCTGTCAAGTCACATCTGACCCTTGTGTCATTCTTGCTTTAGTCTGCCAAAACTCTCTGCTGCTTTGGTCTTATTTTTGTAATCGTTTAGACATGCATTAATAAACAACATTAACTAATAATAACGACGGTGATGATGATCGAATTGATGATGTGATGATGATGATGAATGCCCTGCTTGCTGGGTTCACATATTAGAAACTGTGATGAACATTTGAACTGATTGCTCTTGTTGTCAAACACATATTATATGTATATAGGATGCGTATGTATACGCACACATAAATCGTCAATGGTTATGGGTGTGAAAAAGGCTGGTCTCTCTCTGCAAAACCCTCCTGCGACCTGACCTGTCTATGCAAATGCTAGGGTTTCAGCTAGTACCGTTGAAAATAAACCATGTTTCTTTAGCCTATTTATAAAAAAAAATCACATGCAACAACGAAGAAGCTTACAAATACACTAACTTACGATTCAAAATTTGTCCATACATAAAAAATAAAATAAAATATGGTAGAGACACCATACGTGACAAACATTCAAAACATGTCGCGGTGTCACTGAAAAACAAGAAGAAAAAGTGAAAAAAAATAATATATTCAGAAGCAAAAAAGGAGATAAATTAGATAAACCATGATTTGAGTAAGAAAAAATATAATAAGAAAACAATAAGAGTAACACCGTATATATTTGGATTCACCGTATACTACACTTGGAACTTGGAAGAGAATGTGACATTAAGTGTCGTCTCTCTTTCCACGAGCAAAGAGGACAGCCTCATTTATCCGACTGAATCATCTGCGAGTATCGGAACTCAAATCCTTTTCTTTTCTCCTTACTTCTGTTTTCGCATTCATTTCTTTACCACTGTTGTGTTACGACTTTGGCTTTTCACCAAAACAAAAACAAAAAAGAAAAAAGAAAAAAGAAAGAAAGCACGAGGAATTAGAGCAGAGATAAAGCGTTTTCTGTCTGGTTTTTTACCCACTTTTTATTATTTATTTATTTTTGTATCTGTGATTAAACGCACAAAGCAGCTAAAGTTTTAATTGGAATGTACTGAAAATGACAGCCACCCGAGTTATTTAAATAATCATTTTTTATATTATTATTATTATTATTATTATTATTATGGTGGACAGGTTGGATCAACCTTTCGAAAAAGATAACCCAGAAACAGCGTCTGATCTCCGAATTCTGTACCTTATTTATGGTTCTTATAAATAGAAAGTTTTTTTTTTTTTTTTTTTTTTTTTTGGTGTGAGGTTAAATAAATTTATTACAGAGCTGAAATGTCCAATTACGTCGAAGGCCATGCAGCAACAACAGTCATAGCGTCTACATTCTGGAATCCGGACCAAGAAAAAAAAAAGTATATTTGCATGTTTAATAAAAAAAAATCTGTGCTTCATTAGGAACAAAAAAAGCTATCAAAAAAGTATATTTGCATGTTTAATAAAAAAAAATCTGTGCTTCATTAGGAACAATAAAAGCTATCACATTCTCCGTTACAAAAAAAAAAAGATCATATTGATGCAACCCAACTTTGCCAGCCCATTTGGAAATTGGATGAGCAAAAGGTTCTAAAGTTATAAGCCCATTTTACATAGTGCCAAAACCCACGTGTCACCATTTCATTGGAGATATCATTTAATGCAAAGAAAAGTCAAAACCCTCAGCGTACACAATTACAAAAATATCCTATTTTTATCTAACTATTGAAATTTAATATATTACGCAAATATCCAATATCGCATACTATAATTCAAACATTTGTACTCTAAAAAATATTGAAAAGTATATAATCACTTCCAATCAAAACTAGTTATTTTATATTCAACAAACTGGTATTTTGATTTATCAAAGGTATGTTGAATCCCAAATCTTTTATCAATTTTTGAATATGTAGTTGCTATATGATATATTTTAGTGAATGGTAAAGATATATTACATAAAATATGGGTCGACAAAATTTTGAAAAAATAATCAAATGAATTATAGTTGTGTAGAATCGATAATGTAGATTTTTTTTATATAATAAACTCTTTTTTTTTTTAAAAAAAAAAAAGAGAAAACAGGAAAAGGAGAAGGTGAGGTGAATGTGTACAATGGAGACCCATATCTAAAACAACAACAAAAAAAGGCCTCTAAGTTGAAATTTGGTAAGAGAGCCCATGCTTTTTATGTCTTATTCGGCCATCCATCTCTATCTCCTCAAACCCTCTCTTTCAGTGAAAAGGTTGTGTGTTTCCTGTCCACGAACACAACCACTTGTTTCCCTCTTCTCAACGCCAAGAATCAAATTCTTCGACTTCTTTGAGATTGAGTATTTTTTATATATGAAAAAGTCAGAATTATAGTTTGTTACCCATAATTTTCAACTATTTTATGTCATCACATTTAAACATGCAAATCATTGATCTTCGATATATTTTTGTAATTATAAATCTTATTCCGTTTTATTGTTCCATCCAAGATTTCTAATAAAACCATCCAAATACAAAAAAAAAGATTTAACAATTTTGTTAATGGAATAAAGACAGTTTTAAAGCAAATCATGTTTTTTTGTATGTTTTTTTTTAAAGGTACTAGAGAATAGGTCATGTTATACTTATATCATGTGCTTTTGACCAAACCAAAATCCTTAAAACGGATTTCACGACAAACCCAACTTTGGGTCTCACCCTAACAAAACTCACGTGCCATTTGCCCTCCGTGTCTGTGGGCCCCGCCGCGTGGAAATAATATCTTCATATGCTTAGCTCGCGAAATTTATAACCGGAATAAAAATAACACATCTACGTGTTTGTTATAAACAAACCGCATTTAATTACTTTATTTTATTTTATTACGTGTGCTTGGTATATATAAGTCGTGGTTATATTTTTTGTTGTTGTTGCACGTCTTCGATGCATGCGCACCACTTGTAAGTTGATGATCTTTTAGACATTGAAGTCTCTCTTTAACTAACGTAGACGTTTCTTGTTGGATGCAAATGCGCTCTCTCTCTCTCTCTCTTAAACACACGCTCCCCACGTAAATGAAACATTTAGAATTGCGAAAATCGTATTTCGAAATCATTATTTTCCATTAAATTAAAATAATGTTTGTTAATGACATTCCATCATACGTTTAAGAAACATGTGTATTTATTGGCGATTTTTTATGTAACTTGAATTTGGGATGGACATACAACTAAATGCCTCACCAACCAAACCCTTCGAGAAGAAGAAAGACCGCAAAAGGGTCCAAATATCATTGGTGTCACGTGAAACCCGTACGACTTTCCTATTCTCCACTAAATACAATATTTATTCGAATGGGACAATTTCATAAATTTCAGAGTAAATTTCACTTAAAGGTACATTTCTTATATGAAAAAAGAGAGTCTGTTTGAAGAAATCAATAGATTTTTCATTTGCGACGTCTAATTTCGATATATAGTGTGAATGACATTTGAACAAAAAAGTTATTTTCCACTTCATCACATTAGAACATCTAATTATTTGTAAATATTTAAATTTTCATAATTATCTACACGTGTTTTGTATTTTATCATGCATATGTAAATATACATAATAACTAGCTAGTAACTAGTCTATCATATAGAAACAGATCAATGCCTATGAGCTAATATTGAATTTATGCTATATATATATATATATATATATATGAACTAATATTAAAATTATCTTTAACATTTATCAAATAAATTTTTTATAATCAATCTAAAATATACATTTTATTTTGTATATGTACTTTTCATTGTTAACAAAAAAAAGTATTCTTTTTTTTTATAATCTTATTCTCGATTCAGTATTTGCACAATGGTAAATTTAAATGTATATTAAGGAGCAAAAAGTGGAAGCTTGTGTTATTGAGATTTTATTAGAAATTTCTAACATAACCCAGGGGAAAAAACATGGATAAATATGTTATAGCATGTCCGAGATCCGGATTGTGTTGTACCATTCGTGTCTCCTCCCCAAGCTTCCTCTCTCTCTCTCTCTCTCTCTCCCCCAATTATTATTATTTTTCTTCGCTTTTAAAAGAAAAATCTCTCCTTACGCCCAAAACAAAAATCTACTGTATAAAGAAAACCAAGATTTCCTCGTTCTCCTCCCTTCTGACTTCTGAGCTCAAGCCTTTTCCTTCCATGGCAACAATCTACGTAGTGATTATTTAGCCTATTGGTCCCGTACCCTTTATGGATCTTGGTGTTCGGTTTCAAGGGTCGGTGTCGGGCCATGAAAACGGAGCTCCGACTCAGTCGGAACCTGGATCTGGGTTTGCCAAGCAAGACAGATCCGGGTTCGACGGCGAGGATTATTGGCGAAGCCCGAAGCTTGCGAGAACCGAAGACTTTTTGGGCTGCAAAACGTTGTCGTTTCATCAGGGCGTTCCCCTCCTGAGATCTACCTCGCTGGTTTCCTCTGATCCCCGCCGGCAAGAGCACATGCTCAGCTTCTCTTCTTCTGATAAATCCGAAGCTCCGGAATTCAATAAAGATGGCGGCTTGGACAATAGGATCTCTGTCTCTCCGTATCTTCAGCAGTTTGCCTCCTCTTATAGTAGAGATGCAGGTCCGAATACTTTTTTTCCTTTTTGTACTTTTAGCTCTTAAAACCTTTTTGTTTCCCCAAAAGGAACTTATGGGTTTTGGTTAGAGTTCGATTCGCTGAAATGGGTCTCTCTGGAAATGATAAAAATCTCAACTTTTAATCGTCGATCAGGGTTTATTTGTTGTATTCCGTATCCATTTGTGACCGTGTGAAGTAAAGGAAACGTCTTGAAGCAGGATATGGCGCAGGAGGAGGTGTGATGAACACAAACATGCATGGGAATTCCACAGGGGTTAGAGGACCTTTCACATTGACGCAGTGGGCAGAGTTAGAGCAACAGGCTTTGATCTACAAGTACATCACAGCTAATGTCCCCGTTCCTTCTAGTTTGCTTCTCCCCCTCAAGAAGTCCTTTTACCCCTACGCCCTTGGTTCCTTTCCTCCCAATTCCTGTGAGTTTCTCTGTTCCCCTTGTTCTCTTCTTGATGTTATCATGATAAAGATGGGATTTTGATCGTCTGTAGAGGGTTACTGGCTGCAAATAGAAGATATCTTTGATCATATACTATACGAGTTCTGGGATTCTGTTCAAGCCATTTGTGTATAATTTCATCAGCACTCGCGTGCCTGTTGTATAGTGGCTTGGTGAAGGGCCCTTTGCAACGTTTCCTGCTTTTTGGGCACCTTGTTGTTGTTGGAATGGTGAGTGTTGAACTAAAGGTTCAGTTTTCTTTGTTGGGCAGTCGGATGGGGAGGCGCTTTCCATCTCGGTTTCTCAGGCGGCAGCATGGATCCTGAGCCAGGGAGATGCCGAAGGACGGATGGGAAGAAATGGCGGTGCTCGAGGGACGCTGTCCCGGACCAAAAGTACTGTGAGAGACACATAAACCGAGGCCGCCATCGTTCAAGAAAGCATGTGGAAGGCCATTCTGGCCACACTCCTGCTGCTGGTTCCACCGCCGCTTCCAAGGTGGTGACACCAAAGCCATCATCTGATGTGGTGGCTCTTGCATCAGACTCCCTTTCTATTGGAGGCCATTCCAATCCTTCTCCTGATTCTTTTCCTAACAGGTGAAACCCGTCTTTTTGTTTTCTCATGTTTCTTTTTGTTCTGGTTGGTTGATTATACCCTTTTGCTATTTGTGTATATGAATGTTCATACCTGTCTTCTACCTTTTTCCTTTACACTTAGAGTAGACCCTCCACCCATTATTGCCTCTTTTATACTTTGGTGATTGCGACTATTCCTTCATAGTTGAGACTTAGGATTCCATGTTTGGGAAACTTTTACAAGCTACACTCTCTTTTTCGTCGGTCTTTTGTTGATCTCGATCTATCATGTGGTAGTGAAGATGCAATTGTATTTTAAGTCTTCACCCACTGTCTTATCCAAATTTTCAGACAGTGCTTTTTATGTTTGAGGTTTGACATTGATCTATTTTAGCGTAATCTCTAACCGGAAAAGCTTCTTTGTCGCATGGCAGAGTTCAAAATTTGCGGGGAGTATCGTCTGTGTTTCCTTCGACGATGAGCTTGCAACCCAAGGAACCACCTTTGGCTCATCAAAAACAGGAAAACCCTTTTGAATTTGGGATAATCTCCTCTGATTCCCTCCTGAATCCGCCGCAGAAATCTTCCTACATGAACTCTGCTGAAAGCATTGGCTCTGACATGGACTTTAGCAGCCAAGAAAAACATCCCAGCGATCCAAACATTGTCTCATGGCCCAGAGAGCTGAAATCGGATTGGACTCAGCTTTCAATGTCCATCCCTATGGCTTCCACAGAGTTAGAATCGTCCGCTCAAGACAAACTCGCGCTGTCGCCTCTAAGGTTGACCCGTGAGTTTGACCCGACAATCCAGATGGGTTTAGGCGTCAACACGGGGATTCTTGAACAGGCCAAGAAGGCGAAGAATTGGATACCAGTCTCGTGGGGAAGTTCATTGGGCGGTCCGCTCGGGGAAATGCTGAACAGCCCGAAGTTGGGATCTTCCCCGACAGGAGTGTTGCAGAAGTCCACGTTCTGTTCTCTCTCCAACGGCAGCTCCGGCAGCAGCCCTGTGAACAAGAATGGCGCAGGAGTCGGCCTGTGCGAGGATTTGCTCGGCCCCACTCTGCTGAGTTCCTCCTCAGCCCCATCTATGTAATGACGAGACAGCAAGTAAGCAAACCGCCATGGCCATGATGGTGGAAGTTTCTGTTCTTCCTGTATTTGTAAACTAAGGGAGAGAGGAGAGGAGACAATGGGCTCTGTAATGTTTTGTTCGTTCTGCATCTTTCTAACGTTTCCAATTTTCCAAATCCATGGATTTGTGGGGGTATGAACATGTTATCACGTGTATTCGTGCCATCACCTGATTTTGCTGTCTTTAAAGCCTTCTACTTGTTGGTATTTTTAGAGTAAATGAATGGGGTTTATTAATAATCTCTCAAGAGATTCATAGTTATATGTATTACGGATATGGTGGAGGAGTTGAATGTTCGTAAATGATATAATATGGATCGGTGAAACACATATGTGTTTGGCAGTAAAGTTGTTCGGTTTGTGAGTGAGGTATACCTCAACTCGGGTGAAGTAGAACTCAGTCTTCATGACAAAAACGAAATTTTCTTTACAGAAATGTAACTCGGTCCGTGTTAGATTTAACTCGGACCGTGTTGATTGTCTGAGGAAAAATTCGTGTTGCACAGAAATTTGACACGGCCCGTGTCAGGTGGAACTCGATCTGAGTCAAAAGTCTGTGAGAAGTACTTCATGTTGTGTCAAGTGTAACTCGGAACATGACAGTTATATACGAACTGATGCGATTCTTCGCGTAATAATTGCAGATTTTGCAACTTTTGGTGATGTTCTTTGGTGTTTATATACTAAAGACGTCAGAATAAGTTGGGTACGAGATCTATTCCAATTTTGAGAGATTTTGAGAGCACTTTCGGAAGTTTCTTGCAAAAACTATCCCGAGAGCTTTCGTTCATCTTCTTCTACTCATTTCCTTGTCTGTGCGTTCTTGAACGAGCAATTCTAGAACGTTTTCTCTTCATTGTATCTCAGAATCGTATTCCGGTAGTCCTTGCTCGTAACGGACGGAATAACGGTTTTAGGAAAGTGTCTACACGCCTTGAAGAGATATCCGGTCCCTTGGTTCGATTTCATTCTCATTTTTCCGTTGATCTCCTCCAGATTTCTAACAATCTAAAACCGTTATCCACTCGAGGATGACATCTTCTGTGAGGGATTTGACTATGAACTTTCACAAACTCGACAAGTTCGAGGGCGTGGGCTTTAGGCGGTGGCAGAAGAAGATGCACTTCTTGTTGACGACGCTGAATGTCGTCTACGTCATCAGCACACCCAGACCGGAAGAGACTGAAGAAGAAACCTTGGCGCAGGCACGTATACGAAACAAATGGGACAACGACAACTATGTATGCTGCGGTCACATTCTGAACGGTATGTCCGACGAACTCTTTGATGTATATCAACACATAGACACGGCGAAAGCCCTGTGGGAATCGTTGGAGGCTAAATACGTCTCGGACGATGCCTCCAGCAAGAGATTTCTTGTAAGTAGTTTTAACTCTTACAAGATGGTTGACTCCAGATCGGTTATGGAGCAATTCGATGAACTACAGAGGATCTTAAGTCAATTTACACAACACAAACTACAGATGGATGAAGCCATAAAGGTTTCCTCCATTGTTGACAAACTTCCACCAAACTGGAAGGATGTCAAACGTTCCCTAAAGCACCGAAAAGAGGACATGACCCTTGAGCAATTGGGAACACATCTTCGCATAGAGGAGGAACTCCGAATGCAAGATGGTAAGGGTGTTTCTCCTCCATCCACGATTAATGTGGTAGAAGAAGAGAAACGTGGGGCCAAAAGGCAAAACAAGAAACCCTCCAAAGGTAATCCCAAGAAGAAGACAAAGTCGGATGCGGCTTGTTGGTTTTGTAACAAACCGGGTCACTTCAAACGGGATTGCTACTCGTGGAAGAAGAAACACGGGAAGAAGAGTGTAGATGGTCAAGGGAAAGACCTCGACCAACCCACTCAAGGTAAGAACGATTGTTTCTTGACAAATTCTATTATGAGTTTTGTGGCTATGATTTATGAACTAAATCATGTTCAGGAGGGTGACCAATCTTGGTGGATCGATTCGGGTGCAACTCGACACATATGTAAAGATCGTGGACTCTTCAAGGCTTTCAAAGTTGTTGAAGACGGAAGCATTCTTTACATGGGAAATGACTCTACAGCAAAAGTCCAAGGCATTGGACAAGTAGAGTTGTTACTTACGTCCGGGAAGTCTCTAACACTTAGGGATGTATTGTATGTTCCGGATGTTCGAAGGAACTTAGTGTCGGGGTGTGTACTCAATCGGTTCGGGTATAAGATGGTATTTGAGGCCGATAAGTTTATCCTTTCAAAAGGAGGAGTGTTTGTGGGGCAAGGATATCTATGTAATGATATGTTCAAGCTTAGTATTAATAAAGTTATTACTTCTTCTTCGTTTGTTGTTGATGATTT